TGCCAAGTGAACTTCCCTGCAGTCCTGTTTATATGGGTGTAGTTAGAGCTGCTTTGGCGATGGTGGCCCGCCTCTGTTGAGGCAGAGTCTCTCTGCAGTGGGGGGTTGCCTTGGCAATGGCGGGCTGCCTCAGCATTGGCTGACTACCTCTGTAGTGGTGGGCTGCCTCGGTAATGGTGGATGCCCCTCCCCCACAGAGCTGGACCATCCCGGGTTCAGCTGTGCTTACTGTGAAACTCTCAATCCAGAGAGTTTCTGGTTTCTGTTCTTTTGTGAGGGTGGGACCAGCCGAGCCTGATCACCTGGCTCCCTGCCTCAGAGCCTTTTTTAAGTTGGTGTTCCAGTCGCCTGTTGAAGAGGCGCCAGGGTCTGTTTGTTTTCCCCTGTGGCCACTCACTGCACTGGCTTAAACAGCGGCACTGAGGTTTGTGGCACTTATTTTTTTTTTTTTTTGCCCTGGAATCTACTGTCCTGGTTCTCTGCTCAGTCCCCTTTTTAAATAGACAAATGGGCGACTTCCCGTGGCTCCAATCGCCAGCCAAAACAGCACCTGGACTGGTGTATTTTGTACGGAGAACCGCTGCTCTGGGGCGCCGACAAAGCAGCCGCACGGGGCAAAGCAGCAGCGCCAGCCGGCACAGCCGCGCTGGCCGAAACAGCGTGGTTACAGCGCTGGTAACCTGTGGAGCTCCTCTGTCTGGGAATTTCCTAGCCTGTGGGCAATAAAAATGCGGCGTCCACTCACCCTCTGCACTTTCACTGGGAGCTGCAATCCTGAGCTGTTCCTAAACAGCCATCGTGGATCCTCTCCCCCCCCATAATATCTTTAATCTTTCTTAATTTCTTTCTTTTTTTTTTTTTTTTTTTTGAGATGAAGTTTTGCTCTTGTTTCCGAGGCTGGAGTGCAATGGCGTGATCTTGGCTCACCACAACTTCTGCCTACCAGGTTTAAGTGATTATCCTGCCTCAGCCTCCCAAGTAGCTGGGATTATAGGCATGTGCCACCACACCTGGCTAATTTTTTGTATTTTTAGTAAAGACAGGATTTCTCCATGTTGGTCAGGCTGGTCTTGAACTCCTGACCTCAGGTGGTGTGCCTACCTTAGCCTCCCAAAGTGTTGGGATTACAGGCATGACACACTGCATCTGGCCTTCTGAATTTCTTTTTATTCTTTTCTGTCTGTATATTTTCAAATAACCTGTCATCTAAATCACGGGATTGTTTCTTCTGCTTCATAAGTTATGTTCTTCATGTTCTTTATTTCATTTTTCACTTTATTCATTGTATTTTTCAGCCACGGAATTTATGGTCTTTTAAAAATAATTTCAGTCTCTGTTAAACTTCTCATTCTGATTATTTATTTTCTGAATTTATTGAATTATTTGTTTTTTTTTTTTAAGTTTGCTAAATTTTCTTAAAACAATTATTTTCAACTCTGTCATACAATTCACATATCTCTATTTTTTTGGTTTCAGCTAATGGGAGATTGCATTTTTGTGATGATGTTATGTCTCCCTGGCTTTTCCTATTTCTTATTGCCATATGTTTATTTCTACACATCTGAAGAGCCTGTTCTAGTACTTACAGACTGGCTTTATAAGGTAAAATCCTTCAGCAGTCAGTCTATCCAGGGACTCTGTGCAGGCCATCTGGTAAAGTTTGAGGGTGAGCTTGCTTCTGGGGTCCTCAGGCATGTAGTTCTTGTGCCTGGGTCAGCAGGCAGCTGGGTATGGTGGCTGAGTCTGTGGTGTTGGGCCTGATATCTGAATCCAATTGAGTAGACTTCAACAAGGGGGAGGTTTGTAGGGAAGCACCTAGAGCCTGGGTCCATGAGGGCAGGCATAGAGCCTGTATCTATGATGGCCAACCTCAAGCCTAAGTCCACAGGGGCTGACCTGGAGCTGAGGTGAGACTTAACGCTGAGTCTGCAGGGGCTGGCCAGGCACTTTGGCATCTGTTTCTACTGGGATGAGTCTGAAGTCTGAGGCCACAGGAACTAGACTGACACTGGACCAGTCAGGAACCTAAGGATGCAGAAGTGGGTCTGGATCTTGGATCCACAGAAGCTGACCTGGATTCTGAGTCTGCAGGGGTGTTCTCGGAGCCTCAGTCAAAGGGGTATGGTCAGGCATGACTGTATACAGGAATAGGCCTGAACCCTGGGTCTGCTGAGACATGACTGGACCCTGAGTCCTCTGAAGTGTAAGTCCACAGTAACAAGTTTAGAGCCTCAGGCTGGCATATTGCTAAGTCTAGTGTGGAGCCTGGGTCTGCAGGGGCTGGTCTGGAGCCTGGAGCCCACTGGGCTGGCCTGAAGCCTGAGAATATGGGGGCAAGCTTGGAGTCATGTCCAATGATGTCAGTCTAGAGGCTGAGTATGGAGTTGCTGGCCTAGATTCTAGGACAGCATATCTGGCCTGGGTCCTGGGGCATTTGGTACTTGTCCTGGTATATGGGTACACAGGGACAACTCTGGAGTCTAAGGCCATAGTGCCTGTCCAGCACTGAGGTCTATTTGAAAGGGCCTAGATCCTGGATCAGCTGAAAGGTGAGACCATAAGACCAGCCTGGCACTGGGAAGGCATTGAACATGTTTTCATGGGTCCCCACCTGGTGTTTGAGGCCAGCATGTTAACCTGGCACTGGGACAGGTCTTTAGTCTGGTGCTGGTACCAGTCTAAACCCTGGGGCCACAGGAGCCAACCTGGTGCTAGGGCAGTCTTGGAGACCAAGTCTATTGAGCAGGCCTAGAGCCTGGATCTGCAGGATCCTACCTGGTGCCAAAGTGGGCCTGGAGGATCAGTCCGCATGTACCAGCCTGGAGCCTGGGGCTGTGGGGGCCTCTCTGGTGTAAGGTTTTACTGGAATGGGCCCAGTTTGGGGATCTGAGACAGTCCAGTGCCCAGTGCTCAGTTGTTTTTTTTTTTTCTTCCCCTCATAGATGGATATCTTTCTCCATGCTGTGCAACTTCGAGTTGGTGGAGGGGTGATGTGGGTAATGTAAAACTGTAATTTTGTCACTTTTTTTTCCCCACTTTAGAAATGGAGTCTTGCCCTGTTGCCCAGGCTGAAGTGCGGTGGCAGGATCTCAGCTCATTGCAGACTCCGCTTCACAAGTTCAAGCGAATCTCCTGCCTCAGCCTCCTGAGTAGCTTGGATTGCAAGCACCTGCCACCATGCCTGGCTAATATTTGCATTTTTAGTAGAAACGGGGTTTCACCATGTTGGCCAGCCTGGTCTCAGACTCCTGACCTCAAATGATCCACCCTTTCTCCACCCTCAAATGCATTTTTCTTTATTTGCTACACCAAGTTGCTGTAATGTCTCACCTGCTTTCTTTAGCTCTGGTAAAGGTAATTTTGTACATGAATAGTTGTTCAAATGGATACTTCTGTAGGGTGATGAGTGTCGAAGAGTCCTATTTTGCCCTCTTGCTACATAGGAATGTAATTGGTTGGGAGAGGCTGCCTTGAGAGCTGCTAGCCAGACATCTATTATTTTAAACACCATGAGATACACACATATAGTACAATACGTTATTTAAAGTATACAATTCAATGGTTTAGGATATTTATAGATATAGTAGTGATATGTGTAAATATCACTACTGTCAATTTTATGCATTTTCATTAACAGTGAATAAAATCACACACTCCTTAGACATCAGTTCTCAATCATAACTGAAGGGAAAACCCATCCTTAAGCAAATAGCAATTTTTTCTGACACTATAAATTTGCCTCTTGTGAACATTTTATTTATATGAAATTATATATGTTACTGTGTGACTGGGTTCTTTCACATAGCATAATGCTTTTGCTTTTCCAAGACCACCAGGCAAGATTTTTTGTTTTCCTTTTTCTTGTCTTTTTTTCTTCTTTTTTGGCATAGTGCTTTCAAGGTTTATTCTGGCAGTATATATGTATACTTCTTTCCTGCTTATTACCAAATTAATATTTCATTGTATAAATATACATTTTGTTTTCCTTTCACCAGTTGAAGTGCATTTGAGTTGTTTCCATGTTTTCCTAGTATAAATGTGTCTGCTGTAAACAGTCCTGTACAATTTTTCTTTCAACACCTGTTTTTTAGTTATTTTGCCTATGTATCAGTAGTAAAATTGCTGCATAGCATGTTATTTTTATGTTTAACTTATAGAGGAACCACAAAATTGTTTTGCCCCATGACTGCATCATTTATCATTACCACCAACAATGCCATATATTCCTGTTTCCCCACATTCTCTCTAACATTTATTATTTTGCTTTTTTATTAAAAAAGAAAAACTATCCTACTGGGTATAAATTGGTATCGCTTTATGGTTTTGATTTGCATTTTCCTGATGACTAATGGTGTTGAACATTTTCTCATGTGCAATTTGTGATTTGTATGTCTTCTTTACAGAAGAATCTATTCAGATCCTTTCATCATTATAAAATCGGTTTATTGTTTGTTTTATTATTTAGCTGTAATTACATTTTATTTTAGTTTAGTTAGCTTAGTTTTTGAGAAAAAGTCTCACTCTGTCACCCAGGCTGAAATGTGCAGTGTGATCTCTACTCACTGCAACCTCTGCATCCCAGGTTCAAGTAATCCTCCCACCTCAGCCTCCTAAGTAACTAAGATTACAGGCATGCACCACCATACCTGGCTAATTTTCTTTTTGATATATTTTTAATTAAATTAAATTTTTTTGAGATAGGGTCTCACTCTGTCTTCCAAGCTGGAATGGAGTGACATGATCTCCGCTTACTGCAACCTCTGTTTCCCAGGTTCAAGCAATTCTCCTACCTCAGCCTCCCAAGTAGCTGGGACTACAGGCATGTGCCATCATGCCAGGCTAATATTTTTTGTATTTTTAGTAGAGACGGGGTTTCACCAAGTTGGTCAGGCTGATCTCAAGCTCCCTTACTTCAGATGATCCACCCGCCTCAGCCTCCCAAAGTGCTGGGTTTTATTGTTTTGTTTTGTTTTTTAGTAAAGACAGGGTTTCACCATGTTGGCCAGGCTGGTCTTAAGCTCCTGACCTTAAGTGATCTACCCACCTCGGCCTCCCAAAGTGCTGGGATTACAGGATAAGCCGTGTCTGGCCTTATATAATTTAGATACAAGTCATGAGATATATTATTTGCAAAAATATTCTGGCACTCTGTAGCTGTCTTTCATCTTTCCTGACTGTGTTCATTGAAGCAGAAGTTGTTTGTTTTTTTAATTTTAATTGTATCCAATTTATCCATTTTTTTCCTTATCAAACTGTGCTTTTGGTGTAAAAATTAAAAATCCAATGCCGAATTCAAGGACAGATAGATTTACTTTATATTTCCTCCTAAAAGTTTTGTAGTGTAAACCTTATATTTGAGTCTTGGGCTTATTTTCAGTTAATTATTGTATTTTTCATGAGGTAGGGGTGTAATTTTCTTTTTTATTTACTTATTTTTTGCATATGGATGCCAAGTTGTCCCAGCACCATTTGTTGAAAATAGTTAGTTCCCCTTTTAATTGTCTTGCCTCCCTTGTCAGAAGTTAATTGGCTGCAAATTAACTTATGTGAGGGTTTATGTCTGGACTTTAAATTCTATTTCATTGATCAATATTTATATCCTATGCCAGTACCAGCTTTATAATAAGTTTAAAAATTTGGAAATGTGACTCTTCAAACTTTGTGTATTTCAATATTGTTTTGGCTATTCTGGGTCCATTACATTTTTATATAAATGTTAGAAACAGCTTTTCACAAGATGGCACCGAAAGCGAAGAAGGAAGCTCCTGCCCCTCCTAAAGCCGAAGCCAAAGCGAAGGCTTTAAAGGCCAAGAAGGCAGTGTTGAAAGGTGTCCACAGCCACAAAAAAAAGAAGATCCGCACGTCACCCACCTTCCGACGGCCCAAGACACTGTGACTCCAGAGGCAGCCCAAATATCCTCAGGAGAGTGCCCCCAGGAGAAACAAACTGGACCACTATGCTATCATCAAGTTTCCGCTGACCACTGAGTCTGCCATGAAGAAGATAGAAGACAACAACACACTTGTGTTCATTGTGGATGTTAAAGCCAACAAGCACCAGATCAAACAGGCTGTAAAGAAGCTCTATGACGTTGATGTGGCCAAGGTCAACACCTGATTCGGCCTGATGGAGAGAAGAAGACATATGTTCGACTGGCTCCTGATTACGATGCTTTGGATGTTGCCAACAAAATTAGGATCATCTAAACTGAGTCCAGCTGGCTAATTCTAAATATATGTATATCTTTTCACCATAATAAATAAATAAATAAATAAATGTTAGAAACAGGTTGTAAATTTCTTCAAAGTAGGCAACCTTAATTTTGATAGGGCTTGCATTGACTATTTAGATTATTTTGAAGAGTGCTGTCATCTTTATAATATTGTGCCTTCTGATGCATAAAATGCCTTTTATCAGACGTCATTTTGAAGAAGTCTGTGATTACTGCTTTTGATGTTCAGGTTGGCTCAAAAGTTTTAAAACTCTAATGTGTGATTAGTAACATTATACCATCTTTAAATAATTATCTGTAATTTATTAAGTGTGCATAACATAACTCTAGAATATACATAAATGTCACGATACCTTCATTTGTGATTTTTCAGATCCTTTAATTCTGATGCCAGGGGCGAATTTCAGAAGATTGTGTAAAATACTCATGTTTCACAATCTCTCTAAATATTCATTTTACAATGTCAGCTTTAATTACTTATTTGAACAAATTTTATATTTTAATTTATAGGCTAAGTTTATCTGACATTTTCAGATATAATATATGCTTTCTAATCTGTTTATTTTTTATTACAATTCAGAGGTAGAAGTTTTATTTTCTATATCCCTGGCAATCATTATAGTCTATAATTATTTTCTGTAAATCTCTAATTCCTGAAAAATTTGTGAACTATATGAAATATTAAAAGCTGCTATCTAATGTTTTTCCATTTTACTTGTATTTTTTACCATAATATTTATTACTGTTTTTAATTAGTATATTCTATTTGTATAGTACTAAGCATTTTAGAAAGAAAGTAGAAAATTATTTTTTAAAAAGCACACCAACCATTTTCATCAGGAAAATAGTTAAGATGTAAAATAATATGATGAGGATTAGCATAAAAAGATGTAGATTCCATGAAAAAATTGGCAGCAAATAAAGTGTACTGGAAACTTAATTCTTTTTTAGATTAATCCTTCCTCTCTTTCCTTATATTTTTCACTAAAATAAATGAATAAAAAGACATAAATAAATGAATAAATGTAGGAAGAAGGTCATATTTTGATACCAATTTTAGTAATGCTTTATATATGGCATTCTTATAAGATATTTACTTAAAATTCACAATTTACTAGATGTAGTCATATAGATCTAACGCAGCACTTAGAGACAAACTTTATTGGGGCCTTCAAAGATTTATAGGAATATAAAGTTATACAACAAGAACTGGATGTCACAAAAAGAACACACTGGTTGGCTGCTGCAGGACCATCTCACAGGTGTTATTTGCTTTGGTAAATTCATCATGATCCAGGCCATTGCTGTAAATCTTAGAGGTTTTACAACCCGATCTTGCCCACATCCTAGAATTCATCCAAATTCATGAGGTGAAATCACGCTGATTACATCATAAGACTGAAAGATACAGAAAGAGAAGGAAAGTTTATTGATTTATAATGAGAAATGCCATTATCATACAGGTCAGATATGTCTGTTGAGCAGAAAACACCCCAATTTCCCAATTAAGCAGGTTAAAGAGAATGCAAAATTATTAGATGAGTTCTTAATAAACATTAAATCAAAGGCATACAATGTTGAGTAACCTTCATCTTGTTGGTATCTAATGTATTTGAAAGCAAAATAATTTATCTGTCAGGTGGACTAGCTGTTTCTCTTATCCTAGTCATATTTCTCCCCCCAGAAGTGCAGGAATGTCTACCACTGTTACTCTTGTTTTACTAGGCTTCCAAAACTGATCATTCAGCCCCATTGTTCCCTTATAGCCCCTTGACAAACTCCTATATTCCTTGGAAATTTTATATTTATTTATTTACACAACTAATACATGAATAAAATATAACTTTATATAATTCAAAGAACATGGACACAAGTCTTCTTACCACTAAACATTTAATATCCTTCAGTCCTTCTATTTCCAGAAGAAAACATAGATATTATTTCTAGACCTTTGTCTATTTAAATGTACACATACATAGTATTTATAATAATATAATAATTTAGATTTGGAGTTTATAATATAAATGAGACCATCATAACATACTTCTGCAATTCATTTTTATTCACTTATAAATGTATTAATAATATTTAATATAAAAATAGTCTCAATATTTCAGTGGCTTCAAAATATTGCATTGTATTACAGTGTAATTTTAAAATCATTCTTTTTTGAAAGATATTTAACATGCATTTAAGATATTTACAAACAATATTTAAGATATTTACAAACAATAAAGCCAATTTGTTCATATATACAATTATTTCCATATATTATACAAATAAAACATAAGTCAAAATTTACAAACACTAAAATAATGATACAGATACAATACTTTAAAAATGTATAATTTTACAGATAGTAGTTATTTAATCAAATCCTTTCTAAAACAGAATTCTGGAGACTTTTGATTGTGGCAACTATGATGACCTAACATTAAAGTCAACTACATTTATTATGATTATTGGCCATATATTTTTGTCTTCTATGAATTGTCTGTTCTTTGACTATATTTCTATCAGGCTTTGTTTCTGTATTAATATAAAGGAGTGCATTATATATTCTAGGAACTAGTGACATCCATTATATATCTTTTAAATGGAACCACACTGTATATAAATAGTCTTTAAGTTTACTTATGATGCTTTTCTTCATATAAAGTTTGCATGTCTTATAAAAGAAGATTGTATTTGGAAATATAATACAAAGGCATTGAAATAAGGAAATCAATATAAAATGTATAAAAGAGAAGATTAATAATTTTTTCCAAAAAACAATTCCAAATCCATGGAGGTTAAAAGATGTTAGAAATATAGAATAGGCCGGGCGCGGTGGCTCACGCTTGTAATCCCAGCACTTTGGGAGGCCGAGGCGGGTGGATCATGAGGTCAAGAGATCGAGACCATCCTGGTCAACATGGTGAAACCCCGTCTCTACTAAAAATACAAAAAATTAGCTGGGCATGGTGGCGTGTGCCTGTAATCCCAGCTACTCAGGAGGCTGAGGCAGGAGAATTGCCTGAACCCAGGAGGCGGAGGTTGCGGTGAGCCGAGATCGCGCCATTGCACTCCAGCCTGGGTAACAAGAGCGAAACTCCGTCTCAAAAATAAATAAATAAATAAAAATAAAAATAAAAAATAGAAATATAGAATAAATGCCTCACAATTTTTTCCCATAACAATCAAAGACACGTGTACTTAGAAACATGCAGAAGTTTGTTTGTTGTTACACAAAATGAGTTTGTATTAGACACATTACTCCAGACATGTTTTCTTTATTTAATAATATCTCATAGTAACCACATAAACTTAAATATTTTAAAATAAATGGGAAAAAAAAAACTTAAATATTTTAAAAATATCTACACAAAATTCCACCAAATGGTTCCACCGAAAATTAGTAATTCTCAAAATGAACAGAATTCAGACAGTTTCCAATTGTTTTCACAAATATGCAAATATAGTTTCAGCTGGTATAAAAAAATTGAACAATTTGTGGATTACTATTTAAATGTTGCAGTAAACAATTGTCCACACATCAATGTATAAGAGACAAGCTAATCACCTCAATAAGAAATACCTGTTATCATACTTTAAATTTCTATGAATGATAAAGGAAACATGGCATATATTTGATTTTTTGTACCTTAATGGAATTATAAAGTGGACAATTTTTTAAGAATTTAGTGATCCAAAACTTCTTACTCATAATAATCCCCTCATTTTGATACAGAAAAAGAAATTTTCATTTAAATGAATCTCTATAAATGGTCATTGTATATGAATTATTTTAATAATCTTTGCAACATAGTTTTAAATCTATTTACCAGATATTATACTATGTTTTGGTTTGAAATTAAGTGTTTTTAGCATTTTTATTAAAATATTTTATTATTAAAGAGTAAAGAATTTATTAATGACTTTACAATTTTCCTGATTCCCCAGAAAGATCTATTTAAGCCAAGTCATATAGTCTATGAAATAATGAATTTATATTAAAATGAGTTGACTTATCACTGCTTTAAGAATACATTTCTCAATGTAGTAAAAATTGTGTGTAAGACATGATGAAAATGTAATAAACATTATAGAATGAGGTAAAGTTTAAATATATATTACAAAATATATTCTCTATTAGCTATTCCTATGAGACATAAAATATGAAATTTCTTACAATCACATTTGATCAATCTAAAAAGGAAATACTCCAAAATATGATCAAGTGAACAGCAAAAGAAAAGATGTGGTTCAGAACGTGGGTCACTTAAACAAGAAGCAAGAGAAAATTAAAACATACGATGCAAAAGGGAAATGATCTTCCCAAAATAAAAACGTAATAATCCCTCATTGATATATAATCAACTCTAATAAAACTAAGTTTTTTAAATGCCCTGAAAAGCCACAAAAAACTTACAGAGTAAAATAAATGGAGAAAAAAAAATCATATAACAATAAAGCCATTCAATAACCACTCCAAAACAATTCAGTAGAAAAAGACACAAAAACCACTAAATTAAAAATATGATAAAACATTACTATGAATCCACCACTTGAGAAAAGAAATTAATCACCTAAAATGACTAACTTTGGTCCAGAAAAAAAAAAGAGAGAAAGAAAATACAAAATCAATTCAAATCTCAAAGTACTAAATAAAAAAGTAAAACAACAAATTGAAAAACACAAAAGAAAAAAATAACCGAAAGTGATACCAATTATGTTAAAAATCATGTAAAGCAGTGAAAGTAAAAACAGAAAAAGACAAAAGAATCAGACTGAAAAGAAGGAATGACAATGAATAGGAGTGACAAAGATACAGCAGTGATGTCCTCATGAAAAAACATGCAACCAAGAAGCTTTGTGATTATGGGATCCTTTCTAAGTTTTTAAGCAGTTTGGCCAAGAAAGCTCCAGTTTCACACCCACTGCTGGGACCTATCTGATAACAGATTTCCTGCATTTATTCTCAAAAGAAGGCTCAAGTTACCCAATCAATGGCATGACGACCCAGGCCTAGAGACAGGAAAACTCGCAGTTCAGAACCTGTATGGGAGAGCGTGTGGACAGTTTTATGCCTTGTGGGGGTGCATGTGTATGTGTGTCTGTGTGGGAGAACAGTTGGGCCTGCACCCTTGTGTCTGTGTGAGGTTTCTTGTGTGTGTTGTGATTATGTTTCTGGGTGTGGGGTCCCTGCTTGTGTGTTTGTGATTATGTTTCTGGGTGTAGGGTCCCTTCAAGTGTGTGTATGTGTGTCTGTATCTGTGGTCTGTGGATATCTGCCTGTGTGAGTGAGAGTGGGCAAATGGGCACGTGACAGAGACAGCCTGCCTGTACACACTGAAATGCAGATTGTTGTGTTCACATGGCTGGACTGGAAAGAAAGGCAACAGGACACAACTTCCTGAGGCTCCCACTGGCTCATTATTGGACGTTTACAGTATCTGCAAGGAGAATGGGGAAAAACAGCAAGCCAAGAGGTACTGGGAAAGCCATAAATTCATGATGACATTTTACTTAAAAGTAACACCTGGGTGGCTTTTTGAAGCACCAGAGAAACTGAACTGGTGACCTTCATTTCTGCTCCTTTAAGAACAAAAGTGAAGCCTCCCTCCAGGCTTAGTGCTGCAAAGGGGCACACCCATCACCAAGAAGCAGTAGAAGAAGCAGTCTCCATAGAACACTTGTCCCTTCAAGAGCCAAAAGTGAAAAAAAAAAAAGGAAGAAGAAGAAAGGAGGAGGAGGAGAAGAAGAGGAGGAGGAGGAAGAAGGAGAACAACAACAAGTGGCAGCTTCATGTTACTGCAGCTGTCCTGAAAGATCTAGTTCAGCGGTACATCACTGCTTGATGACATACACAACAAGCAGCAAAGGACACAAGTGGCGTCCCAGTGAAAGGACACACCACTGAAAAGCTTCTTGTCATTGGGATCCTTTCTGATTGGGATCAAAGGGCTGGATCCAGAAGTAGGCCTGGAGGAGCAAAAGAGAAAAAAAGGTGCAGGCAAACCCATGCCTTCTGTATGTCATCAACATACTGCAAGGGGCCACCAAGCCCCTAGTCCATAAGGCCAAGGCAGGGAGGGACCCTGGAAATGGGAGGAGAGATTAAAAAATGGGGAGAAACTGGACACCAGGAAAAACAGGTAATCAGCCACCTATGGCAATAGGGAGAGAGGGCAGAAAGAGGAGGAGGATTCTGATTATGCACCTCAGGGGTCAGCCAGGGTCTTTCTAATTTCCTTGGGGAAAGTAAGCATGTTCTCCCTAATGATGTGCGCATGCCCAACTGACCAGAAGTGGACTAAAAGACAGTGAAGACTAAAAATATGAAGGGAGAAAAACTCCAAGAGTACACAAAAAATACAACTGAGCAATAAGGATGATAACAGGTGGACAGGTAGCAA